AAGGAGTAGTGTGTGCAGGGAAAAAGTTATCCAAATCCTATCACTGTCCAGAGAAATTATACGATTTGATGCTAAATTGCTGGAATGCGGCAAATGATAGACCAAAATTCATGAGTTGTCTCGAAACTATTGTAACCTTAAGAAACGAAATAGAAGACACAATCCTGCACTCAGTGAGTATTATCAGACATGTACAGATAAATTGGTAATTATTTTCATAAATTATATTTATAATTTAAAAAGTTAAAAAATATACTTGTAACAACTACAAATCTATGTTCGAAATTGTAGCTTTAGAAGTATATTTTTATCAAATGTCATATTTGCGCGACTCTCTTTTAAATTTTTTTAATAAATTGCATTTTTCTGTGTTTTAGTCTCCGCCTTCTGAATATCGTCCGACAGCGGATTTTCTCTGAAGCACAGCCAATCGTATTTGTATTTTGAACTTTTAACTGCGAATCATGCTTCAAACAATATCATATAGACATAATTAGTTTTTTGTATGAACAATTTTTGAGATCTTTGATCGTCATTAATAACACTGTTCAGGAAAAAAAACACCGGTACGAGACTAGATGTTTCTTATAGTATTTTTGATGCTCAACACGAATCTGTCTGAAAAATTGCTCCATCACGGCACAATTTAAAAAAAATTGCAATTGTAAGAAAGTGCTATTTTTTCGAATTTTGTCATATTATAACTACAATATATGTGACGTACTAAAGAAGTTTTCTTGCCATTATACAAAGTATGTTGACAATTGATTTTGTATTCATTGTTAGTGACCTAAAAGACCTTTAAGAATAAATAAACATATTTTAAAACTGTCTGTAGTTTGCGTCAACCTAAGAAACCGCTAACTTCTGCAATACCTTATATTCAACTGTGGATATCATAACCGACACCGAAAATTCTTACTGAGAGTTGAAAGTCCTAATTTACTTTATTTTTTTCGTTCCAGTGTTCAAAAACCGTATTTCTTTGTTGAACAGTGTTATTAAAAATCAATTTAATTTGACGTTGGGTATACATAATTAAAGGAAATATATTAATTTTTCAATATCAACAAATTTATAAATTGATGGTAAAAAATCATTATAATCGATTTATGCGAAAAAATTGAAAAAATCACATTCAAAAATAAAATCTCGTAAATTACACGCGCACGCACATGTACATACATACTTGACTTATTACAATAAATCTATTGGAGGACATAAAGACATTATTCGACTGCATTATCTCCTTCTTTCTCTCTCATACGCATACATACAAACACCAAGCGCATTCCTACTTTTTTCTTTTTTTTTTTCTGATTCTTAGTAAATAAATTTCTTGGTTCCAGCTCCCGCTTTCTAAAAAATTTGAAATGGAGAATCTTAACTGAAGCACAGTCGTATTTTGAACATTCAACCGCCATGATGTCTTAAATGATATTATATAAGTGCATAATCGCTTTTTTTGACCAAACGAGTTTTGAAATCTTTGATCGAGATTAATATCGACCAATTTTATCGTCGTTTGTCGATCTATATTATTATCAATAATTTCCATCTATTTTTTTTTTATCTAATCGAAAAAAGTTTTACATATAGTTTTACATTTTACATCTTTTTTGAAAGAGGCAAGTAATTTATGCGGTAAGGGAAGGGTATAATAAATTTCCGGCAGTAAATTTCGTCAACGTAAATGACCAATGTGTTGACGTGATGTCTATAAAAATCATATTAACCGAATATAATCGAGCGTAACTGGATTTAATCGAAGCTTATAAAGTACCCCTTCCCCGAAAATATCAAACCACACTCTTCGCCTTTGACACAATTGTAAGCTATTGTGTTGTCTATATATTCAAATGCCAATTAAAATGATTGAGTGTGCATTAGTCAATAATTGTTGTTCAGTTAAGATTCTCGTGAAGGAGAATCCAGTAAAAATATCTGCAATAGAAAAAAGTTATCATGTTCGGAACGTTAAAAATATTATGTATTTTATTAAAAGTGTTAATGCTAACGAGAACGGCCCTTGCGGTATCTTTAGAGAATGAAGATATTCATATAGTACAGGTCAGTCTTCAAAAAAGGATATTTTCATGTGCCTTGATTTAAACTTGGTGTAAATAAGAAATTTTTTCGTAGATAAGAGATGAAAAAAAATATATTTTATGTTATTGTAACTAATGAGAAATTATTTGTGTAATTTAAACTGTTCAATAAACGTAACACAAGAATTTTGATATTACAAAAAATATACAAAATTTGTTTAATTTTGCGTTAAAAACAAACACATTTAAAATATAATATTATATAGCACAAAATTATGCTTACATAATTAAAACGATATATGTATATTAAATCTCAAACGTAGCATGTGTTGATATAATTGTTCTATTTAAGAATAAAAATTTTTAAGATAAATGATTCCGTTTGTTCTCTACATTATTAATATTTTTTTTATTATTGTATAAAACTTACAATAAATTATTTTTTATTTAATAAAACTAATAAAAAAAATTGAGTTTATAAATTGCATGAGTAATAAAAATCATTAAATCTCGTGTAGAAGATCTGTTTAATGCATTTCAGTATTATATTAATTTCTCTCGATCAAATATTTTAAAGTCAATATTATATAGCCGTAATTATATCTACAGCTAAACAGCTATCACTACGTACATTAATATTATTCATTGTATCAATGTATATGTATAATAATGTATATAACAAACGTGTACATACATATATTAACATATACGTACGTACATATTTTAAGCGAAATACAAGTCGTAAACGTTTATGGCATAAATTATATTATGCTCTTCAAATGTCACTTGCGCTGGAATATAATAATAAAAATTAAATTTATAGAAAAATAAAAGATAATTTATTAGACAATAGAAATATAAAAAAAATTTAATAGAATTTTTAAATACAGGAATGTCAAACATTTTTATGATCACAATTAAACAATTAACTTTAGTGTTGAAATTAACTTTAGTGTTGAAATATATACTTTAACACTATCAATGAGATAAAAATCGCTTTCGTGAAATAGAAAGCGAATTAAAGTAATGTTTTACTTAAAGAAATTATTGTTATTAAATAAACTAAAAATAACGCAAAAACTGAATTATTAGACAAAGCTGTTTTAACAATCGAAGAGAATTAGACTTTCTATTACTATAAGATTTAATTACTATAAGAGACAGTTATATAATTTCTTATTGGTTTTTCTTGTTCATTCAACAGAATACACCATCTTTCGAGTTCTACACAATTAATAATTACCTGTTACGAGTCCAGAAGTTATATATGCAGGAATATTTTAACAACATAACTGAAAAAAATGTAGTTGGTAAGAATAATTCATTTGTAGACATATCTATATTCTCAAATTTTTTAATTAATTGCAAAAAATTGTATTTGCAAAATCAAAATTAAAAAATTAAATTTGAAGAACTATTTCTCAACAAGAAAATATATAAATAAATATATATTCTATTCGAAAAAAATAAACAAAAAGAGGAATAAATACAAACACTCTGTTCACGAAATATTTTAAAATAAAATCAATCTCATTCTTTTGCTAGCTATGTCGTTTCTAACTAGTTGGAAATCTCATATTTTTATATTTTTAATCAATAGAAAAGTTCGGGAAATACTAAACGCTTAGTAATCATTAAACGATTTCTCTTCAATGTGAGACATTTGATATACCTGTAATATATTGTATATTATTTGAATTTCAACCTGCTAGCAACCAGTAAGATCAAGAGACGCATGGTACGTCAGTTTCAATGGAGAAATAATTTTCGTTGAAATTGGTTAGTTGTGCACAAAACACAAATTTTTCTTCGTAAATATGTCAAAAAATGAAATAAATCTCAATTCTTTCTTGTCAGTTGGACACTCTAACATTTACGACTGGGTCTTACTAGTCTGTTAAAATTCTAATTTGCTTTTTTGAAAGCCTTACTAAAGTCTTTGAAATATTTGTTTTCGTTAAAAATCATTGAATGATCATTGACAATTACTGTCTCTTCTATTATAAAATATTATTTATAAAAAGGTTCCTTGTCTTACAAAAAACATTGAATTATAATTTTAATACTTCAAGATGTAGAAAAAAAATTAAGAATCCTTTTTAAATTTAAAAACATGGAGATGTAGCTAAACGGACAAAGTAATCGGCACATTCATCCTACTATTTTTTTGTCAACAATTAAACAATTATTTTATTTTATCTTTTCTCAATTATCGAAATTGGAAGTCTAACATAATAATTCTATATACCAACTAAATATTTTGAAACTTCTAGAAAGTTTTACTTATTGTATATACCCCATTCTTATATATACATATTTATGATTATAATTCCGTATAATTATGATTTTTGAAAGTTCTCAAGGAAGATAGCACACTATATCCAGGATGCATCCCAAATGAATCATTTCCTCTTCGGACATTCGTAGAATTCAATAATAGACTAACTAAGAAAAACATTAGTGTGACACTAAGGTAAAAAAGAATCCAAATTCTTAGCTTGTATATTTTTCATTCTTTTCAATTTAACGACACACACAATATATACATATATATATATATATATATATATATATAATATATATACATACTTCTATAATTGTTTGAATGCTCTTATATATACATTTGTCCTAAATTCTATTGTGAATCATAAATCGTTTAAAGTGACCTTATATAAAAAATCTAACTCTTAATGTACTTTCTTTTATTACGTTTTATGCTTTACTTTGTTTATCTTTTATACCTTATATCTATCACGCGCTGACGTGAGGTTTTCACGATTATTTTAAGGATTTCAAACAGTTTATTTTTAAGTAGACCATTTTTACGTGTCCCATTTTAAAAAGCGCACCTCAATAATTCTTCAACAAAGCATTTTCAGCAAAAATGTTTCAGATAAAAGTTGTATAGTTTCGAGGGCAACATAAGAGGGTGCCATTGATTCGACCTTGAAAGATCATTTAAAGGTCACTTGAAGGTCAACTTCAGTTTCTTAAATAAAATCATTTATTTTTCTCCCGACTGCTGCCAACCGTAGGTTGGCGAAAAGAGAGGGAGTATGCGTTTCATCGAGCCCGGATCGGTCGTGACCTTAATTCTCGATAACTACTGCATAGTTAATATCAACTTTGGAACATAAGTTTCTTATTAATCAAGGAAGGTTTAAAGCGTATTATTATCGTTATTTATTCTATTAATAAAAAGTGAAAAATGAGTATTATTTCGTCAATACGGTCTCTCATTGGCTGCTGTGTGAACCTAAGAGGAAAAAATGATTCACCAATGAGATTCGTTGTAGTATCCGGATAGGGAATGTTGGTGACATTGGTATATACATCTCGAAGTAATAATGACGGGACTGATAGGGTAGGTTAGCTGTCACCTGTTGCGTGTTATTGTCAACAACAATATTAAGTGAAGTGTATTATTATGGATATATCTCAAGAAGATATAAATAAAGGAATAAGTTTCTTCTTTTATATTTATTGTTTTTTTCTTTATTTAGGATATTGTTATTATTATTTATTTATTGTTTCTTTATTTATATGTAGGAAGAAGATACTCGCTTGGAGATATCTGAAGAAGAAAACATTATTAATAATAGAAAACGAGTAAGTCTTGTTATTAATAATTAATAAAATATATAATATAATATAGTAAATAATATAATAAAATAAATATAATAAAATATAATATAATATAATAAATCAATCGAAAAGTATAATAAAATATATAATATAATTAATCTGTTGTAGTCATAACATGGCTATATGAATTTATATTTGTCTGCGTAGCCACTTATTTGCTATTAAATTTGCTGCGTAGCCACATTGCTATAAATATCCACATATATAATTGTATAAATGTATATAGTTATTTTCTCTCTTATTTGTATATTATATAATAATTATATAATTAATTAAAAATATGTATACAAATATATTTATAGTTATACAAAGATATTAGCTTACGCACCAATAATTATGGCAATGCAGACAAATATATTAACTTACATAGCCAATTATCTACTACAAAAGATTATTCACATATTTAATAATAATTAAGGCTATACAAATATATAAACTTACTTGTGATTACATAATGTATAAACTTATATAGTCATAAGAAAGTTAATATATTTGTCGAAGCCATAATTATAACTGCGTACAAGTTTATGTATTTGATATAAGATATTGTTGTCATCTGTCTTTGTCATCTGTCTCTCTCTATCTATCAATCTATCTATCTAGCTATTTTTTTTTATTTATCTCTCTATTTATATTATATTATATTAATTAAAAAAATTGTAGCAGAAAAATATTTGGAAAGAATATAGAACATTGCAGTCACATGGTGAGTGTATGTGTGTCTTTATTATTATTATTATTATATTATATACATTGTAATATATATATTACATAATAAAAACTTTTACATGTGTAGGATGAAGAAGCAGAGAGACGAAAGAATGAAGAAACAGCATAAGAACAGCAAAAAGAAGAGTAGCAGGAAGCTTGCGGTACATATATGGGCAGCATAGTTGCGCCGCACTCTAAATGTGCATGTTGGCAGCAATGTTATTATCTGAAGAAAGAGTAGAGGAATCACCAATGGCCATAATATATGATTATAATCACAAGCAGGAATGAGGAATAGAAGAAACATCAAGAACATACATATATTAAGAAATTTTTTTTATTATTAAATTAATTAAATAATTAGAAAAAAAAAATTAGAAAATAAAAAAATTAGAAAATAATAATAAAATTTTTTACAAAAAAAAACTCCCGACTGCTGCCAACAAAGTTTTAATGTTTAAATTAGAAAAAAAAATTAGAAAATAAAAAATAAAAAATAAAAAAAAAAAAAAATAAAAAATAAAAAACAAAAAATTTAAGTAAAACCAAACAAAAATTAAAAATAAAAATAAAATTAGAAAATAAAATAAAAAATAAAAAACAAATTAAGAAAAAAACAAAAAACAAACAAAAATTAAAAATAATAAAAGAACAAAAAATTATAAGTATAAAAAATAAGCTTGTAAAAGTTTGAAATAATCACACATAAATAAAGTCTGTTGTTTATTATATAATTTTTCTTATTTAAATTTATTGTTATCATACATATTTAGCGCTATATAATTTACAAAAATTTCAGATTTTGAATTCAAAAAATTTTTTTAATTATAATTATTATTATTAATTCTACAATTTACAGGAGCAGTCGGGAGACGCCGCGCTAAATTTGAGACATATACGCACGCGCACGTTTTATGTAATAAATAGACACAAACACAAATATCGATACTCAACGGATGTACTCACACACTCATACACATGTACGCGCACGAAGTCACGCGCGCACGTACGCACATATGTACGCACTCATGCGCGCAAACACGCGCATACGAACATATGAATACCCGCATTCATACACATACTGACATGCACTCACATACGCACACACGTATATGTATACTGACGCTGCGGAACACACACTTAGCGCGGCGTCTCCCGACTGCTCCTGTAAATTGTAGAATTAATAATAATAATTATAATTAAAAAATTTTTTGAATTCAAAAATCTGAAATTTTTGTAAATTATATAGCGCTAAATATGTATGATAACAATAAATTAAATAAGAAAAATTATATAATAAACAACAGACTTTATTTATGTGTGATATTTCCAAACTTTTACAAGCTTATTTTTTATACTTATAATTTTTTGTTCTTTTATTATTTTTAATTTTGTTTTGTTTTTGTTTTGTTTTTTTCTTTTTTTGTTTTTTATTTTTTATTTATTTTCTAATTTTTATTTTTATTTTAATTTTTGTTTTGTTTTACTTTAAATTTTTGTTTTTTATTTTTTATTTTTATTTTTATTTTATTTTTTATTTATAATTTTTTTTTCTAATTTAAACATTAAAACTTTGTTGCAGCAGTCGGGAGTTTTTTTTTTGCAAAAAATTTTATTATTATTTCTAATTTTTTTATTTTCTAATTATTTTTTATTTTCTAATTTTTCATCGTATATTCTTGTTGTTTATCTCGAGACCTTTCCAAATCCCAATAATAAAGTATTTTTCATGAAATATTCTTTAAGTTAGAAAGGTTTAAAGTTAACAATTTTTTTAAATAAAAAGTAAATATTTGTAAAATATTCAGTTTTCGGTATTTATATTTTAAGACTTTTATGCACGAAATAATGAGACCCATCAATTGGTTGTAAGAAAATACATATAGTTACTTTAAAAGAGACGTATGTAATTTGTATATATTTTTTTAAGAGCAACTATGTGTTTTTTTTACACAAATTGATTGGTCTCATAATTCCGTGCATAAATGTATTAAGATATGTTTAACGAAAAACTGCATGAATATTTTACAAGATATTTTTACATTTTGGAATAAAATTGTTAGCTTTAAAACTTTATAACTCAAAGAGTATATTTTATGAAAAAATACTTTATTATAAAGATATGAAAAACTCTCGAGATAAGCTACAAAAATATATAATAAAAAATAGATGGTTCCATTTGAGAAATTAAAGTTGACCTTTACGTGACCTTTAAATGACTTTTCAGGGTCGAATCAATGGCACCCTCTTATGTCTCTCTCAAAACCATATAATTTTTGTCTGACAATGAAACATTTTTGGTTTGTTGAAAAATTATCGAGGTACGATTTTTAAAATGGGACACCCTATATATATATATATATATATATATATATATATATACATACATAATTTATTTTTTTTATCAGAAATTTGCTAAAATTAAAATTCGCTAAAAATAAAAAATTAAGATATCTTATTTCTTTATAGATCGGACGAATTTAAAAATCAATATATCATACTACATATGAATTATGTTCAGTATTGGAGCGAGGATCTGAAATCGAACGATTCAAATAAATATCATAAATACGCAGATACATAATCCATTAGAATACAAAGTATACGATTTAAAAGCTGATACAACTTACTATTTTAATATAGGAATAAGAACATTGTTTGATCGTAATCCTGTTATTGTTAATTTCAATGTGTCCACCATGAACGAGAATCCGATACCTCTATTACTCGTCCTCCCGCAAAATTCATTTGGTGTGAATATATTGGATGTAGATTTACAGATAGGTATTGAACTTGATACACAAATTATGTATAGAGATATCGTTTACTCAGCATTGGAACATAAAATATATGGAATCAATGAAACAGTCAGAGCTAATAACATCAGATTTTAATCCAACCGCAATTCAAACGAATCGAACAATAGCAAAGCTCAATGACACTGCACATGAACTCTGCTTTGATTGGATTCACAGAAAACTTTATTGGGTACAAAAATGCACAACGGGAATCTGCATTATAAAGCAGCTAGACTTAACATTGTGGGAACAAATAGGCATAGTAAAATATGATAAAATAAATATATCCAAGAAACCAATATATGTAAGGTTTTACATGTACTGCCATCATCAGGTATATAAAATTTTATACATGTAAAAAATGTTATTAACTTTGATTTTTTAATTAAAACTTGAAGTTATTGTATAATTTTTCATCGCTTTAATAATTGTTTTTTATCACAAGGTATAAAATCATAAACTCACAAAGAATTGTAGAAATTTCAATATAATTTTATATTATTTTCTGATATAATAGATATGTTATTAGTAGTGAATAATATGCGTACTTTTCAGATATATGTATTGGTCACAGTTTGGCTCGTCAGAAGTAATGCGATCGGATTTAGATGGAAAAAACATGAAAAATCTTAGAGAAGACAATAAATGCTTTTGTAACGAACTACATCTAGAGTCCTACTCGACCTTACAGACTGATACAACAAATATTGAGCCGCTATTATATTGGAGTAGTGTCAGTGACTTTGTTATAACAAATCTTGATGGTTGTAAATATTACAAGATTTCAAACTTTAGACCTATAAACAATTACAGATATTTAACGTTTGACAAAACAAACATTTACTGGTACAATAAATACGAAAAAGTAATTTACATTTTTAAAAAAATATATCCTCCTTTCGAATACAAAGAACATAAATTGGAATATGTACGTAGAATACGTTACCGAGAAAATGTTGCTTATCTCTATAAATTATATCACTTGATAAAACTTTACAAACATATCCCCAGACGAAATGTTTGATACCTAACATGACAAATTATCGTATTGAAGTATTGAATAAAACCATACACAATATCAATGTAAGCCTTCCAGAACCGATTCTCAATGACGGATGCAAAAAGTACAACTTACCAACTACTATATATAACATCTCCAAAAGTTATTTAACATGTTTGGACAATGGCAGTATCAAGTTCGAGCAATTCAATGTGACGACATATGAACGGCATTACGAATTCAAGAATTTAATGCCGTTCACAGAATATACGCTGAAGCTAGCACTGAGCAATTTTTACGTCCGCAAGTTATCAATGGACTTGCAATTCGGTTCGAATGTGAAAGTGATAACTACCGGAAAGCTCGACATGCCAGAAGATGTGACGGTTCAAGTTTTAACGCCAACGTTAGCGATAGTTTATTGGATGCCATCCAAGAAATTAACTGCTGCGTGACAGTGACCTACGAGGTGCATTGGATGCAATTTTCAATAAAACGCAAAAATAATACAAATGTCATCTCCCATCACAAAACTTATCGATACGCTCGAACGTACAACAGATGGAAAGCTTTTCACGACAATTGGGTCGCTGCTGTCAAAAACATAATTATCAGATATATGTGCGTGTATATCCATACAATTTTAGTCAATTCTTCACTGACAGTTTAAACAAAACAATCTACATGTCAGAACCGAATAGATTAAGTTTAATCGGAGTCAGTACAAATAGTATGAATATCTCATGGAATTCTGGCGTCAATTTGACGATGCACACGAAATTCCGTCCCATACTGGAATACAAAAACATGTGATGTGGGAGTGGCAAATGGCAAATATCAGTGAAAGAAATAATAATATAATAATATATTATATAAAAATTTATTGCCGCAAACTCTATACAATTTTCGTTTGATCCTGAAATATCCCGAATACATGGACGACTTTGTATGGCCTGAAAAAGAATTTAGATTTGGAAACGCATGGTGAGTAAACCATACAATGATAATATGTATATGATATTACATGTATATGAGATGTTCACGTCAAGTGCAACAGACGTCTAGGTAAAATTTGTGAAGTCGGAACAAGATGTTTGAGGGCTTAAAATTTTCGTTATTTTATGTTGTTTAAGAAAAATACCTTTTAAAAAGTTTAAAGTACTCACTCCAATATGATGGCTAGAATACATGATAATCTTACTAAAAACATATAGTACTGAATAATTGAAAGAGAGTCAATTGCGCCCGGAATATCTCCTTCCAATCCTAATTGTTATTATATGACACATGTTAAACATCAATCATTTATTTTTTTTAACACATTTAAATAGTATTAAAATAACGATAAAAATAGAAAGAAGAAATTAAAAATTTTTTCAAATCTGACTATAGATTCTTTATAAGCAACTTGAAAAACCCCTAGATACGAGTTTCATTGAAATCGAATGCGTTTTTGATCGATAATTATGTTTTCAGTAAGTTTATCATATATTCCAGCCGTATCATATTGAAGTAGGTACTTTGAATTTTATAAAAGGCCACGTTTTTCTTAAACAACCTTAAAATAACGAAAATTTTAAGCCTTCAAACGTCTTTTCTGACTTCACAATTTTTCCCAGACGCCTGTTCTACTTGACGTGGAACGTCTCATATATACTTTAAGACTTTCTTAAAAATAAATTTTAATTGGAAATTATAAATAATAAAGTTCTAAGATAATATATAAGAATAAAACGAAGATATTTAAATTGTACTTTTGTATAACAAAGGTAATGTACCAAGTGCTCCTGGCGACCATTGTATCAAAACTTCCAAATTTGACGTATCAATTAAACTGGGAACATGCGCAAGCTCATGATTCACCAGTGATTTTGTATCGACTGGAGGGTTTAATTGTCGAAAATAATGACAAAGCAGTCAATCAAACCGACAAAATCAATCATTGGAATTTATACTATAATGGAACAAATAATTATTGCTGGATAACGACGAAAGAAATGAATCAGAATATCTTTTTCGTGTGCAAGCTACAAATACTTATGGTTCTGGGAATGGAGCGGCGAATCAGGAGTCGTTGATTTGACATCAAATCTGAAATCTAATAAGAACGAAATATTAACTGTGCAATACGTAACGTTAATATTAAGCATTGTCGCTACCATCGTAATTTATAATGTTTACTACTTTTACTGCTGTGTTTATTTTTTACAGATTCAAAATAAATATAATTAAATACTATAATTAAAAATTATTTTAAACATGATATCCCAGTAAGCAAAGAAATCATTGTTACAAGGTTATTATAATGATTTTACTAACATAATAATGTTGTCAAGTATGTAATTTTGAACATTGAACATTATTATGAACAAACTTTGGTATCGATTTAGAGATTTCGGTAATGTTGAATTAACATTTCTTTAAATCGAAAAATAAAAAAGTATTATTAATCTTCTATTTATTACAGTTTATTTTTGTCAAACAATTTGAGTATTTTTATTAAAAATTCATACAAAATACAAGAAAATAATCTAACCTAATTAATTCTTCAATTTAATTAAAAATTCGACAAATATCTTTCGAACTTACAAGATATATTATAACATTAATATTGATGTTAATAATACACACTAGAAGAAATCCTTATTTTTATTCTTTCGTTCAGAACATTTCATTTGCAGAAACTTACTGAAAGATTACCATATATGGATTCACATATTGCATATTGGCACCAGTATATCGAAATCAAAGAACGAATAAACGTGTTAATAACATATACCCAGACAGCACCAAATTCAAAATCGGCGCATAAGATATCTTTAAAATATATTTAAGATGTCTTCTCGAATATCATATCATAAGATTTCTTAAAACTGTCTTAAAGATTTCTTAATGATATCTTATG